ATATAAGAAAATTAAGTTATCAGTAAAGAACATTGAAAAGAAAAAATTGTAATAATATAATAAATTAATCAGTATCGCAATTTATTAGGAGTTTCTAGATGGTTTACAACTTCGTATTTCTGCTTTTGTTTGTATACGTTTAATCTGGTCAGCCCGGTTTCGATTGCATAGAAATCTAGCTTTGCTCGATCTGAAACCACAGGACTGTAAAATGTAACAGTTCTGTGTCTGAAACAGGCTTCACGGCTACTCGGCGTGCGTGCGCAGTTATCTTTTATTTCGTAGATAGACCCTTTTTTTTATAACGTTTAAAATATATCGCCAAATTGATGTACACATGGAAGGGAATATAGGTACACAATATGCAGCTCTCTGATTGGTCCGATGGTATCCAATATCTACCACAAACGTTGAGCAAGCCATTGTCTGTAAAGCTCCTACGGCAGGAACACACCCGCTCTATAACATCCCAAACAGAAATCACTGTGACTAGCCGCCAGATTGTAGTGTCGTTCATTAAATGAACTACATGTACCTATTGCACTTAAAGTATTTTCCATTTGTTATTTGTGCGCACATAAGCACCCTTCCACGTTTTTCCTGTTTTGAAAATAACTGTTGGTGCCGTAAACTTCAAGATTGTTGTTCGACTGAAAAAGTATCTATACAAGATAAGAGCAGAGATCAATTTATATAAAGGTAAGACGAATCAAGGTTCATATGGGGTTTAATCATAGAATTCGATGATAATGTTCGATTGTATTGGATAACAAATTTATCAAAATTTGAATTGTATACATTAATATTTCAAAGAAATACCAGCCAAAACTAACATGGAATATGAATATATTTTTGTAAAGGACGTGGGGAATTAACATTTCCCATTTCTTAGAAATTTCAATTTTGTTATGTCTACCTTATATTGATGACCTCATGTGTTATTAAAAACATTAAGAATATTTCGCAAAGCGTTCCCCATCAAACTAATTTCGTTATCCCTATCCTTATATGTAAGCCAATCCAGTAGTTTCAGGGTTTCATCTTCATCTTTCTACATCACTTTTCGTAAGAGTGAGAAAACGGTTTTACTTTTACAGTGCTGAATCCCTTGATTTCTATTCTTTCTGACTATACAATAGATGCAGAGACATACATCCGCTGTTACCCTGAGAACCATGTTCCTACTTCTCTGCACTTCATTCGTCATTGGTGAGAGTTAGAATGAATTTATTCCTTTTTTTAAAATTTAATTAGGAGCATAATCACGGGCTACATCAGTTACCTTTGGGGCAAATGTCCAATTTGAGGGTTTTGAGACATTTGATATTGTAAAAGTTTGTTTGGTATCAACGTGTTCAGGTGACCTCCCTGCACACATTCCAGGTGGAATTCTTGAAAATATTCTGCTGAGAAACAGTTGTACTATATTTCAAAATAGCCGCCATGCAAATATTGAACAGTTTGAAGATTACCTTTTAACATAACCACAAATAATCACCTAAAAGTCACCTAAACGACTCCTCCTATATACACCGCACCATTATTTCGCATCCCCTCTTTTCATATTCAAATTAAACACCTTCGACTCAACGCATGCCAGATAGCAATTAGTGTTCCCACGTATTGCCGTATAAACAACATTTGCCAGCTATACGATGTAACGCTGGCAAATACATGTTGCAATTGTTTTTGGTCAAACTCTATTCTGACCCGACTAAGTATAGAATCTCATATTTTTTTGGTTTAAGTCTAAGTTAGGTGATCGTGGTAGTAAAGAAAGGTAGGGAGGTAGAATCATGATTGTTTGGGAGATGGTTCCCTTACTCGGGAGCCGGAACCGGTCAAAAACAAAACTACCAACCTGGTATGTCGTGATTCGAATGAAGACACGACAGGTAGTTAAATGTTTTTGACCGGTTCTTGATCAACTCTCTTTCTGCTTCCCCATGTTTGGCCAAACTGATGGCATGTGTCCCCATCACTTCTTCGCTACCCCTCCCGGACCAGTGACATAAGACAAATTTGAGAAGGGGGGTGGCGGCAAGGGGGAACTTCCGTAACAAATGCAGAAATGTGGAGTGTGGAGAGGAGAAGGATGAGAGTGTGTGTGTGTGTGTGGGAGAGAGAGAGGGAGAGGGAGAGAGAAAGAGAGAGAGAGGGAGAGAGAGAGAGAGAGAGAGAGCGCGCGCAGAAGATGCGTATTCTAATGGTCTCCGAACATAATTATTCAGGTTGAACTCCGTTGAACGAAAGTAATGAGATTAATTTTTTGTATTTGATTCTTTGTTGTTTCCTTGCGATCTTGTTTTTATGTGTGTATACAAGTCAACTTTACATTTTGTGTATTTAATGACGTATTAAAATTCTGTACAGTGCGTCCAAGAAAAAACGAAACCGAGGTCTATCGATGATTTATCGTAACTTTGTCACATTTATAATTAATAAATGACACATATCTGTAAAACTTAGATCCTCCTCTTTCATTTGATGCAACTAATATGATGCATATTTCACGCATGAGTGATTAAAATTAATTTGAAGAGAGGAAACCAAAACGTCATTTGGCGGACGGTATCTGAATTTCAACGAGAAAATCACATTTCCAGAAAGTTGAGTATCTGCCCTTCCATATGACACCTCAATCGGGAAAAATGAGCAAGGAATGACAAAGTTCTGTTTGTTTAAAGTATTGCTTGTATTTCCATAATTTTATCAAACGAATTCGTTTTCACTGGCTGCCTGCAGTAGCAACAAGCAAAATTGACAAAAGACTTAACTCCGTTTCGTTGACAATCAGCCATGCATAATGTCTTTCGACTACGGCTGATTGTCAACGAAACGGAGTTAAGTCTTTTGTTAATTCCGTTTGTTGCTACGGCAGTCAGCCAGTGAAAACGAATTTGTTTAATACAATATGGAAATGCAAGCACTACTTTAAACAAACAGAACTCTGTTATTCCTATTTTATTTTTCCTGATTGAGGTGTCATAGGAAAGGGTACATACTCAACTTTCTGGAAATGTGATTTTCTCTTTGAAATTAAGATACCGTCCGCCAAATGACTTTTTGGTTTCCTCTCTTCAAATTAATTTTAATCACTCATGCGTGAAATATGCATTACACGAGTAGTATCAAATGAAAGAGGAGGATCTAAGCTTTACAAATATGTGTGATTTGTCAATTATAATTGTGAATAAGTAATGATAAAACATCGATAATTCTCGGTTTCGATTTTTCTGGGACGCACTGCATATGTGTATGTTTCAGTTCACGCGCGGGGGTCTACAAACATGGCCGATGAAGTGTTGCATACGGAGGATAATCATTGCCAGCCGATTCTTGTAAATGGTGAATTGATGCCCACAGTGCCAGAATACATGCCCTCGTTTCCCGCCACATTGAATTGTATTAAACGACATTTCGTTTGCAAGTTAGCTGGTGAGTTTTAGGTTTATAGTGATGATCATAACAGTTATGATATGTCAGTCCAACTTGTAGATTGATTTAAAATATCATAACTCTTGAACAATAATGGTAATTATACAATTTAGAACCTATCAACTACTAAAATGTATGCATGAGTTAGAAAATTGAGACATTTCTGAGGTCAGAGAGGAGTCAATGTCGAAATATTTTCAGACGTAGAAATATGCAATAGTATATAAAGGATAGGCGTTAAGAATCATGATCTTTTCACACATGCCCTCTAAGGAAGTGGGTGATTTTGGTGCAAATGGAAATTGTCAAAGATTGTCCAAGGC